TGTGACATAAAATGGAAAAATTAAATAAAATTAACATAATTGTGTTTAAATTGCATCCATGATCTTTAGATACACAGAAAAAGTCAAAACCCAACTACCTTCTTGTACACATATGACTGAAGCATCTTCCCTTCTAGTCAGAATAAGGAATAAGCAAAAGAGGACGACATTTTGTAGTCTTAACTTCTCTGATACCTTCTGAGAGCTATTTTGCCGTGTGTTACTCCACCAAAAATCCTGTGGTATTTCTCCCTTCAACTCACCGTCTCTATCCATATTAAAAGACAGGGAAACTATAGAGCAAGTAACCAAGGACTGGAGGAAAATCAGTTCGTCATCAGTACAAGTAATCATTTTCTCAATAATAATTTTAGAGACTCTTAGAATTATTATCCAGAGAAAGGGAATGGGCCTAAACAAGAGAAAATTCTGGCACAGATCTTAAGGGACTCTGGATCACTGTTATTCCTTTAGATTAATGGTCCAGTGTATTTCTGAAAGGAACAGAGAGATATGATAATAAAATGCAGCTACATGGAGCCAAGATGCTGGAGGGCTTAGGGCTTCTGGATATTCAAAGCCTCCTTATTGTTTAGGACACAGAAGTTAGGATTCCAAATCATAATTTGATTTTGGTGCTAAAGAAAGGACCTCTGAGTGTCCTGAAGCCGAGTCCTGGTTCTTCACATTGTATAGCAAAATTCAAAACCTCGTCAACTATATATTTAGTTCATCTTGAAGCATCCTTGGCATCTACAACAGTGCCTGGTACACTGCAGTACTCAGACACCAGGGTTTGGGTTGTATGGGTCTACTTGTATAGACAGTCATTTTCCATTTTGGTGTCATCAACTACAGTAAGTAGCCCTACCAAAACAGCTCCTGGCAGTAGATGATATACCCTGAGGGCACAAGAAAAGCTTATTCATGTCTAGACATTTTCCCATCACCCAGAGGAAAAAGAAATTTGTATTCCTGGAACCTACCTCTAAAAGCCAGTCTAGAAGTATTGACCTCATCTGCGGTTCCAAGTCAGAATGCAGAACTTCAAAATGTTTGTCATGAACATATCTGGTCTCTTTATTTAACATGTTTAGCCAAACATCCTTTGAACATCCCCAGCTATGGAAAGAGGGAAAAAGAATTAAGTGATCTTCATAACATACAAGCTACCTGTTTCACACAGAGTAAACTTAACTTTCAAATGTTGATATCCAATTTTCAGTTAGAATTTGGAAAGAAAAGCTCTTAAATTAGGAAAAACTGCTACCTTAACTTGTAAAAATCATTTCTTTGGAATGAAATTATACAGCAAGAACTTGTACTATGATAATGTAAACTGATAGATTTCAAGACTACCTTCTGGTCCTCATTTATTTACAATTTACAAAGGCTCCTGTTTAAGATAACCATGTTTTCTCAAGAGCGATACTAAAAATATAAATATTTAAAGCATATGATCCCAGGAGACACAGTCTCAATCACCTCCAAACTGATCATCAATACACTACAAACTGGGGTGGGGGGGTAAGTAGAGTACAGAGAAGGGGAAGGTTGGTGAATTTAAATGTCTGAGTCCGTTAATTTGCTTATTAAAGCCAAATATAAATTACTACACTACACATTTTATTTAAGCTGTACCTCTTAGTCATTCATTAGCTAGAAAAAAGAATTAAGTACAGACTAGTTAAGCTTGGTGAGAAATAAGAAGAGACGATATATCAAGTGAAAATGCTGTACATGTTAAAATACATTTTAACAATTTAGATAAATTATTTAGACTCCATTAAAAAGGTGATTAAGTTCTTCTGGTAAGGCTTACAGTACTCAGCAGGAGAATGAAAATCTTTACAAAAGCAACGTTTTAAATATCTATATCATTCTCAAATAACACTACTCTCAGATAAAATATATGCTTAAACACTAGGAAAACAAAAAAACAATTTTTTTTACAAATTTTTCTATCTTATAATAAAGGCAAAAAAACTCTCAAAATAGCAACATATATTACATCAGTACGATTTTAATCTTTGACATTAAATTACTGAAAATGTTCTTACCTTAAATCAGGCAGAGGTGAAGGATTAATAAAAAGATTTTTAAATCTGTAATTTGTAAATCTGGAGAAGTCACTTGTTCCTAGTTCTTTGTGGGGTGTTTCAATGATAATGCAAGGACTAATCCCCCCAGATAATACAGGTGGCCAACAATTCTGTCATTAAAAAAAAAAAAATCTTTGTGCAATAGGAAACCAGCCTTTGTCTTGGATCATTCATAAATGAAAGCTAATACTTCTCAACAATCTATAGTTTTCCCCATACACCATCATTAGCTAACACTGCTGATGATCTAGCTAATTTAAGTTGCACTCATATTTTATTTTTATTTTTTTGGTGGGGGGAGGTAATTAGGTCTATTTATTTTTAGAGGAGGTCCTGGGGATTGAACCCAGGACCTTGTGCATGCTAAGCATGTGCTCTACCACTTGAGCTACACCCTCCCCTATTAGTTGCATTCATATTTTATAAATAAGCCATATATACCCATATCAATCTGCATAATGCATTAGTAACAGGTAGGATGTTTGTTTAGACAACAAAATATAATTCTGGAAGTACAAGACATTAGGTATTGAGGGAGAAGAGAAATAACAAAACTCATCTGCGGTCAGAGACTAATCACTTCCAAGATTATAAAATTCTCCCTCTGTAGCTATATTAGCCAGGGCACCTTGTTTTATAGGAAACTACATCCCCTGCCCTCCTCCCATTAAAGCCTGTTCCAGTACTTTAGAACACATGAAGGCAAAGCCTTAAAAGTGGAATCAAGTGGAATCAATTACTTAAATACCTAAAGGACCCTTTCCCCAGTCAGTGCTGGTTGCAAAGAGACCCACTGTCTCTGAAGTGTTTTCTGTACAACACACAGGAAGAAAAGGTAGCAAAAGGCTGGGTGTCAGTCTGTCAGTGACCTCGCATCCTATTTATGCCCCAAGGAGCAGCTATGAGGACCCTCCACTACAGTCAGAGAGGGAACAAAGAGCAGAACATTGGGCAGATTAAGGCGGGCCCTGGTGCACCAGGCAGCTCCAAGAGGGAGGGATTTACAAAGAGGAACCAGCTGCTTCAAGGCAAAGTTACTCTGCAGCTGCAGTAGGATTCAGGGACATAAAAACCACCCAAAGATAAGTGCTTTCCTGCTGACCTCCGGGGCATTAAAAGTAAAAGTGTCAGAGAAATCTTCGTATTGCAAAGCAGTAACGCAATTCTATTCTTTTTCGTCATGCATTTGTTTCCCCCACACCCAGCCCAATTCTGCATTACCCTAATTTCATACTGATGTTTCTTGGTGACCTTCTCCTCTTTTCTTTTTCTGACATCCTGGAAATAAAAAAAGACCATTGTTAAACTAAGGTCCCAGTAAGGAATTTCCTCCCTCTTCCCCCTCTTAACTCACCTGGGCTGTTTTTCTCTTCTTGGCCTGAATTATCTGGGCTTCTTGGGGGGAATCCGTCTGGCTGGGCTGGGGCTGCTGTTTAGCTTGTAAACGGCTACTATAGTGAGTTTTTAAAAAGGAAGTTTAATTAGTAAAGTGTTTCAAAGGCAGCAGCTAACTTTGAAACATATCTCCAAGACAAATAATGTTACCTGCGTCTTGACATTCTCTTCTTTCAGGTGTGTGAAATCTCTGGAAGTGAGAGAGGGAAAAAAAAAAAACAGTCAAATACATTGTCATCCAAACTCTCCAAGTGCCAGTTAGACGCTGATTCCGAGGTTGCAACTAAGTTCCGCAGGAGATGGCCTGAGCCATTTTACCGTGCTGTCTTCTCCACTGTATTAGTTACCCATGATTTTGGACTCATGGTTGTATTTCCTCAAGTGAATGTACAGCCGGGACGAGAGTGTCCTCAAAATTTTGCAAAGCACCCCCAGCGCCCCGAACGCGCAGGGAGGCAGATGGGTCTTTTTTGCGTCCTGCACCCTCTCCCCCGCACAGCTCGAGTGGGGCTTGGGCAGCGCCCCCACTCCCTCCTCCCATCCTGGACGGGCTCGGGGAGGGGGTTGTGAAGGCGAAACGCTGTGGAGATGCCAGTTCCGCGCCAATTTGGAGAGCGGCGGTGGCGGGGAAGCAGAGGGCGGAGGGAACTTGTGTCATGTCCTTCAGTCTCCTTTCTCTCCTTCTCAGCCTCACCGGACCCTGCTCATCTCTTGGAGGGGCACCGGGACCCCGACTCCAGATGGGGGATGGGAGTGAAGGAAAGGGAGGTCAATTAGGAAAAGGGGAAACCGGGATGGTCCGGGAACGTTCCTTCCTGTGAAGGGGACCCAGACCTCCATCCTCTCTCCTGAGGGATAGCTCCCCAAATGGGAGTGGCAGAGAGAAGCCCCTAGAATGAGGGGCTTTCCCGTGGCCCCCCACTTACGGGCTGCCCTCCATCTCCCGCCGCTTCCCAGGCCCCCTGCCAAGGGTCCTGACAGGGACGGAACGAGGGGACCCATCGCCCCCAGCCGCTTAGTCCTCAGCCCTCCCATTTTTCTTCCCCCAGATTCCCGCCTGCGGGGCGGATCGGCCCAGTGGGGCTTTCTTTCCTCCCGCAACCCGCCCCACACCCAGCACCTCCTCACCGCCAGACCCGCTACCGCTCGGCTCTCAGCTGGCGCCGGCGCCAACCCAATATATAGGCCGGGCCAGGCCCGCCCCGCACGCATGCGCCTCAGACTGACACCTCCGGACAGCGCGCTCCCCTCCCCCGCGCCCGCCCGCCCGGTCGCAGGCCCGCGAGTTGATCCCTGCGCCAGAGCCGCGCCCGCCCACCTCGAGGGGCTGCAGGGCCGGCTGGCCTGCGCCCTTGGCCGGCGGTCACCTGCACTCACTCCCCTTCACCTGCCTGTGCGGCCCGGCGGCGGGAGGGAGTCTCTCAGAGGCTCCTCCTCCGCAGCCCGGCTCCCCGCCTCTCGGCTTCCGCATCTCCCGCCAGTACGTCCCTGTCCCCTCCCTCTCTCAACTCTCGGATCCCAGGGGTGTCAGGCCGCGGCCGGGCCCCAGCATATGGCCAGGTGGAGACGGCTTGGGCGAGCACAGAGTGGCCAGGAAGTGGCCATCCTGTGGCGCACTCTGGTTGTCCCGCCAAGGCCTCCAGGAACCCGGGTTTTCCTAGGAAACGCGGGGACCAGGAGGGCCCGCCCCTGCGGGAGGAGCGCAGCGTTGACTGGCGAGCTGGCCAATGGGCGGCGAGGACGGCAGCACAACGTGGAGCGGCTGCAGAATGTAAACACAGCCGGGCGCGCGGCGGGCCACGTGTGCCCCGACTGCCACCCGCCGGCCGCCGGGACCACCGGGAACCAGCTGTGGCACCCCAGGGCAGCCAGGCTCAGCGATGCCTGTCTTGCACTTAGCTCCAGCCCGCCGGCCGAGGTATGTATCAACCATGTTTTCCAGCTCCCTGCTCCGCGAATCGTGTTACCCTTCCCGTGGGTGAGTCACTCCGCACCTCGCCGCCCTGCCGGTGCTTGGCGGCTTCCCACTCAGTAGTCCCCGCGCAGGAAACGCTTGCGCCAAGCGGCGCGCTCCCTCCCTCTCCTCTCAACCTCCAGTTCTGGGGACCTCAAAGGTAAACACCTCTCCCGAGCAGTGCCGGGGGTGACACTACCCCTTCCCCAAGAGAACAGTGGCTCTCGGGAGCCGCGCCGGGCGGGGAGAACTGTTTCACCACGTGCAGGCCCCGGGCCCGCCAACCGCGCCCCGCCCAGCCGCCGCCGCCGCCGCCGCCAGCGCGCCCTGCAGAGCCCGCGCGAGCCGCCCGCGCGGGAGGGAGCGCCCGCCTCCGAGCTATAATGGGAGGAGGCGGTCCGACGCATTTCCCTCTCTTTACCCCAGTGTCTAAATTTAGGATTCCCTCGCTGCTTCTACTAAAGTCCTGCTCCAGCGCGCCCCAAGATCGGACGTCTCCAAGTAGGACATGCGGTTGATAGTCGGCAAACTGGGTTTGCGGCGGGAACAAGTGGGGCGGGGGACGCCGGCAGGAACAAAGACCCCCGGGGTAGAGGAGCCGCGCGAAGGCTGCCTTGAACCCGCCGCAGCTCGCGCCAGGCGCGGACCGGCCGTGCTGGGCTCTCTGCCCTGGCCCGAGCGAGCGGCTGGGAGAGTCCGGGGAGACGCGGCCGCCCGCGCCTGCCCGGCACCGCGGCCCAGGCGGGAGCCCTTCCCGAGATGCACCAGGCGGCGGCGGGGAGGACAGTCCCGGGGTCCCCGCCCCGCGCCTTTTGTGCCGCGTCGCCGGTGTGAGCCTAGGAATAACCAGCGCTCTTCCGGGCTTTTTCGATTCTGACCACAGTCTCGTGACGCCGGCAAAGTAATTGTTTTTCTCCCACATTTACGCATGAGGAAGTAAAAAGCTTGCCCAAGGTGACCTGGAATCAGAAGAGCCCCAGAATCTTGTCAGTCCAAGAAACTTCATACCATTTATGATGCTTATGATGGCTTTCTTGATGGGGGGTGGGGGTTGCCTCCTTTTTGCAGTCACCTCAAAACGCTGTGCTGTTCAGCTGTAAAGCTTAGAGAGCTAACAGCGTGATGATAAGAAATGGGAGGTCTTCCAGCAAGCATGTGTGACCAGAACCGAAGCAAAACTGGTGGCAATCATGAGTGAATTTGATAGTTAAAATAAGCTAAAAACCAGTCTTAGGGCATTGACGCCCAGCACTGGGCTAACTAGTAAATTACTTGTAAACCTTGGGCAATGCCCTGGACTTTGAAGTGAACAGAGTGCAATCCTAGTAAAGGAAAATTTAGAAAGAATCTTAAGACTGCTTTGTGTGGAAACGGATAGGTTGAATTCTAACATATTAGAAGTGTCAGGTCACTGGTCATGGGGGACTAAAAAGAACATGCGCTTATCCTTCAAAAGGACCGAGGTTTTGATCCTGCTCTACTTCAAGTTACCGAATCCCTCTGAGCGTAGGTTTCCTCTAGAAAAGATAAAACAAAGCACTCATTTCAAGGGTTGTTTTACAGATTAAATTTTACCACAGTTTTTTTAAAATGAAGTATAGTTAATTTATAATATCGTAGTTAGTTGCTGGTGTATTACATAGTGATTCAGTCTTATACATATATATTTTTTCAGATTCTTTTCCATTATAGTTTATTACAAGATACTGAATACAGTTCCCTGTATTATACAGTAGGACCTTGTTTATCTATTTGATATATAGTAGCATGTATCTGTTAATCCCAAACTCCTAATTTATCCATCCCCTCCTTTCTGGATTGGTAACCATAAATTTATTTTCTCTGTGTGAGTCTGTTTCTGTTTTGTAAGTTCATTTGTATCATTTTTTTTTCGATTCCACATACAAGTGGTATCATACATTTGTCTTTGTCTGACTTTACTTAGTATGATAATCTCTAGGTCCATCCATATTGCTGCCAATGGCATTATTTCATTCGTTTTTATGGCTGAGTATACATAAACACACACACACACATACATCATACATACACACAGCACATCTTTATCCATTCATCTATCAATGGACATTTAGGTTACTTCTGTGTCTTGGCTATTGTAAATAGTGCTGCTGTGAACATTGGGGTACGTTTATCTTTTTGAATTAGAGTTTCCTCCAGATGTATGTCCGGGAGTGGGATTGCTGGATCATATGGTAACTCAATTTTTAGTTTTTTAGGGAACCTCCATACTGTTCTCCATAGTGGCTGCACCAGTTTACATTCCCACCAACAGTTGTGGGAGGGTTCCTTTTTCTCCGCATCCTCTCCAGCGTTGATTATTTGTGGATTTTTGATGATGGCCAGTCTGATCGGTGTGAGGTGATACCTCATTGTAGTTTTGATTTGCATTTCTCTAATAATTAGCAATGTTGAGCATCTTTTCATGCACCTATTGGCCATCTTTATGTCCTTTTTGGAGAAATGTCTGTTTAGGTCTTCTGCCCATTTTTTGATTGGATTTTTTTTTTTGATACTGAGATGTATGAGCCGTTTGTATATTTTGGAAATTAAGCCCCTGTTGATCACATCATTTGCAAATATTTTCTTCTATTCCATAGGTTGTTTTTTCGTTTTGCCTACAGTTTTCTTTGCTGTGCAAAAGCTTTTAATTTTGATTAGGTCCTATTTGTTTATTTTTGCTTTTCTTTTACCTTAGGAGACTGTGCTATGAAAACATTGCTACGATTTATGTCAGAAAATGTTTTGCCTATGTTTTCTTCTAGGAGTTTTATGGCATCATGTCTTAGGTTTAAGTCTTTAAGCCATTTTGAGTTTATTTTTGTATATGGTGAGGGAGTGTTCTAACTTCGTTGATTTACATGCGCTGTCCGAGCATCACTTGCTGAGACTGTAAAAATTACATTTTATAATAAATTGTATATAGAGTCCCTCCCTTGCATATGTACCTATCACACAGCAAATGCTAAGTGCTACATCTTTGCTCTCCTATCCACCACCCCCCTTACTAGTTTATACCCATAGACATTAAGAAGTAATTTTAAGGATACTGAATAAAACAAAAAGCCGAATTATAAAATTGCTGTTTCCTAGAGTTTTGTTATTGTAGTCCTTTTGGGTACCAATTATAAGCATCATCTTTCAATATATTATCATTGTTTCGTATTTGTTTATGTTCATTTTTAGCTCCCTCTTTTTCTACTCATCCCAATTTTAAAATTCGTTTACTTTGAAATGTATGAAATTCCTAATAATTTTAGAAATTTTGGCATTTTCTCCATTGTACATGCAAAATTAAAACACCACGGTAAATAAAGTATTGGCCTCTATGGTGGTTTCATTTTCCAAAAAAAGAAAGAAAAAGAAAGATTCTTAGAAACACAGAGTTGGTTTTTTTAAGGCCCAACCTACTTTTTATTTCTTGCTTCTGCACCTCTTCTGTGCCATACCTCCTCCGTGAAGCCTTCCCAAACCCCTTTCTCTGTGCTCTTCAGTTATGCTCACCTCCCAGGACAATAATTACCTATTAAAATGCCTTTTACCTCCAGCTAGGCCTTGGACCTTGTTTTGTTCTTTTTTTTTTTTTTTTTTTGCAGCCAGTACCCAGCAGTTCAGAGGCATACAAAGCAGGACTTTGGTAAATGTTTAGTTGAATTATGGATAAGAGATCCCATTATAGAACTTTAATTCTGTAAGGTTAAAGTGATGGATGGTAGAATTATTCTCAATTAATATTAGGATTTTTAAAATCAATAAGCTATTTTTAAGAAAAGTTTTAGATTTATAGACAAGTTGAGCAGGCAGAACAGAGCTTCCATATACTCCTCCACTCTCCCCCTCCACCTCATACAGTTTCCCCATCATTGACATCTCACAACGGTATGCTGCATTGGTTACCATATGAACCAATGTTGATTCATTATATTATTATGATGATGCAAAATTATAATAATTATTATTAAAGCTTGTACTTCAGATTTCCTTAGTCTTACCCTGATGTCTTTTTACTGCTGCAGAATACAAACATCCCATTTAGAAGTCATGTCTCCTTAAGTGTCTTCTTGGCTGTGACAGTTTCTCACACTTTCCTTGACAGTTTTGAGGAGTACTGGTCAAGTATTCTGTAGCCTTTCTATGGGAGTTTCTGTCAGTTGTTTTTCTCATGCAAGTTACAGGTTTAGAGAAGAAGATCACAGAGGTAAAGTGTCATTTTCATCAGATCATATCAAAGGTGCATGCTGTCGTCATGGTTTATGACCATTGATGTTGACTTTGGTCATCTGGTAGTATTTGTCAGGTTTTTTCCATTTATTTGTTTACTTGTTTGTGGAGGGTGGTAATTAGGTTTATTTATTTTTTAATGGAGGCACTGGGGATTGAACCCAGGATCTCATGCATGCTGAACATGCAGTCTCCCACCGAGCTATACCCTCCCCCAGGTTTCTCCATTTAAACTTGCCCCTCTTTACATGGTATTGACTCCTGGGATCCTCCACCACTGTGAGACAGACACTGTTACTGTCATTCCCACTTTACAGGTGAGGAAGCAAGATGCAGTTTGCCACAGTCCCAGAGTGGAGTCTGACTCTGGCTCCCCTGTGCTGTGCTGCCTCCAGTAACCATCACGTCATTTCCAAATTAATTCTTTTTTTCCCCTCCGCCTTAGTTCAGGGCTCCATTCTCTCCTCAGTGCAGTCATCTCCTAACTGGTTTTCCTCGCCTATGTTGCCCCTTCTAACCTGTCTTCCAATACATCTTCCAAACTCTCCTTTTAAAGCCCACGCATCTGCCCACACCTGCCACTGACCTGTTACGGATCACTTTGGGTTGAAGGCCAAACCCCCTAACTTAACACACAAAGCCTCTCAAACCCGGGAAATCCAGCTGGGTGCTGTTCCCCTCACCCCTGCCTTCTCACTTCCGACCACCTTTGCAGCTGCACCTCTCCTCCCTGCCTCCACGGTCTCCCCCAGCTAACTCCCAGGTATCTGTTAACATGCAAATAAACACCGGCATCTCTGGGAGGCTGCCTGCTCAGAACAAGGGAAGGCTCTCCTTTACTCCCCGCTCCCTCCCACCCTTGCCTCTACCATGGCCCTTCCCAGGTTGTGGGGAGCTCCTGGGGACAGGGGCCTGGGGCCTGGCCGACCACAGCCCCCTTTGTGGAATGAATGGGGGGTGGGCAGCAGAAGTGTACTCTCTGGGGATGGCCCTCCTACCCAGAATCCAGGGAACACTCCCTTGAAAGAGCTTTGCAGGTGGCTCCTGCAGGGGCCAGCAGGGTCGCGGCTGAGCGCTGCCCTCTAGAGGCAGAACTGGGACTCCCGGCCTCTGGGACTCCAGGAGCACCAAGGAGTCTAGGCAGAGGGTGCCGGCCTCTGCGGAGCTGCCCTTGGCCACCATCTCCAAGGGGAGCCCTTGAGAAGGCCGGCATCTTAGGGTGTGAGAGCTAGAGGGCTCCCTAAAGATGGTTGGTCCAGCCTGTTCAGGGTTCATGATACTCCACATGCGGAGAAAGAACAGGGATAAAGGGTAGCGCTGGAAATTTAGCAGCTCTGGGTGGAGGTTGGAACAGGCAGGCGAGTGCAGGTTGGATCAGGCTGCTCCGGGCCAGGCGCTGCTCTTGTTAACTGCAGGGCACGACTGTCCACAAGAGCTTACGTTCTACTGGTGTAGGGACAGACAGTGAGTGTGTAACAGATAACTATCATTAAGCACTAAGGAAAAGAAAAACTATTGTAACATGAGAGAGGGGACTACTTCAGCTATGGGGGAGGGGGAGGGGACGGACTCACAGGGGCGGTGGTATTTTATCTAGTTCATTCATTCATTCAACAAGCAGTAGGACATAATAGGTAATGAAGTAAACAAAAGTTCCTGTCCCCTCAGAGCTTAATTCTAGCGCTGGCGGGGGTGGGGGGGCGTATCTCGTTTACTGGCTTTGCCCCGCCCCCCACTTCTGCAGGTGACGGAGACCGGGCTGAGCCAGGGCGTGGGGGCAGGGCTGCTGGCTCCCACTTCTGAGTCTCCCAGACGTGGCTGCCACCGTTCAGGAGAAGCTCCCCAGAGACCCCAGGGAGGAGGGCCTGGCAGACAGCACCTCTGGCCTGCTCCGGGGTGGGCTACCCGGCCACTGCAGCCTGGCAGACGACTTCCAGGCCTGCCATCCCCACCTAGGTCCTAAATTTGGGCCTGGCTGTCCCTCCAATCCCCGTTCCAAACCCTACTTAAAACTGAGCTTTATTGTAAAATGTCTGTTCTGTTCTGCTGTTTTGGGTCTTTCCTTAGAGATTCTGACTTCACATGTGTGTAGTTTCCTTTCCCTGTCTTCCGCATCACTCCCTCTCTAATGGCATTTATTCATCTCTGTTTTACCTTCTTCCTCTTATTTCTATTCTTTGTGTCTTCCACGGTGTCCCTTGAGTGCTCTCTCCTCTCTCGTGTTTCTTGTAATTTGGCTTTTGTTGAAATGTTTTGCATTTATTTTTCTTACACTTATTTCCTAAATCTGCCTCCAACTCGTCCTACGCTTCCCTGGTCGCCTCCCAGCCACTGATTCCCAGGCACCCGCCCCTTCCTGCCAGGGTGCTCGTCTCTTTTTCCGAAGCTGTGCCTGTGGGTTCTCCTGGCCCCCAGGCACTTACTGGGATTTATTTCTTCCTCTCCCAGTGTTCCTGCCCCCTGCCTTCCTGGTCCTGCTCACAGCCATTCCCGCCCAGGC